TGATGCTTGTGAGTATATCATGCGAAATTAATTAGGACGAAAATAAACTAACATGCAAGCAACATGTAAAAATTTTAAAAAAATAGGATTAAAACATAAACAAATCAAACCATCATGGCAAAATTAAAACAAAATAAAATATGCAAGTGACTAAAATTAGCATTTTCAATATTAAGTGCTAAAATTACAAATAATAAAATAAATAAAACTCGTGGACTAAATTAAAAATAAATTAAATTTGCATGCCTAAATTAAAATAAATAACAAAAAATACTCGGGTTCGAAATACAAACATGCATAGGATACAGGGACTAATTCCTAAATATACCAATTTTTAAGACTAAAATATACATATTTGAATAAAAAGGTAAAATTACTAAATCAATCCCTAAATATTTAAAAATAAACAACCACTACACATAACCAAAATGTAAAAACACGCTAAACATACAAGGACTATACGAAAAATAACCCAAAAAATATATAACATGCCTAAAATGGGTAAATAACAAAAACATTTCCTACAGTTGACTAACATGCAAAAACACAGCTAAACTAGAGGGAATAAAAAGTAAATAAACCAAAACTTACAAAACATAAACATAAATGGTTAAATTATGAAATAGGTCCCTACACATGGCTATTTTGCAAAAAGGCGTTAAACATTGGGGGACTTAAGAGAAATTTTACCTGAAACTTTATCTATATATACCACTTATATTCTTCAAAAAAAAGGGGAGAGAGAGTCTCTCCTCTCTCTCAATTTATTTCGGCCGTCCCACTGTGGCCGCCATACACGGCGCCTGGTCACTTTTCGACCACCGCATACGGTTGCTGGAATCCCCAAATTAACCCAAAACACCCAAAATGCTTAGATCCAGACCCTTAGACCACTAATCTAGGCTAAACCCCACCTAAAAACTCCAAAACAACCCCAGCGGTTCGGCTCCCTCTAACTCCGACGATGATGAACCGGCTCCGGTTCGAACTCCTACTAAGGTAATGAATCTAACCCCTTTCCCCTATTTTGGTTGTAAGCTTTAGTTTTTAGTTTTTATTTTATTTTATTTTTTTCGTTCGAACTTAACAGAGAATAAAAAGGAAAAGAACAAAAAAGAAAACAAAATATACCTCAATTTTTCGAATATTATTACTTTTTTTCTCTGTAAAAATCGAAAAGGGGAACCCTTTTTACATTGGTTTGCTTGAGTTTTATACCCGATTTACAGTAAGTATTAGTCTTAAGAAATCTTTTGACTTTGCTTGATATATTGGTGATGTGGTGATGGTTGTTGCAGGCTGGTGGCGTGTATGACATCTTTTGGGGGTCTGGCAGCAGCTGAGCAAGCATTGTGGAGAGTGTTGCTGCTTCACGTGGGCATGGTAGGGTCTGGTGGGCTTCAACCGGGGTCTGGTGAAGCAGTGTATGGGGTTGGCAAAATCCGGGTTTGGGCTGGATTGCTTGTTGTGTCGGGTACATGTTGCTTTAATTGGGCTTGTTCCTGCTGGGTCTCGGGTCTTGGGGTGGTGGCCCGATTGGGCCTCTTGTATTTAGTTTGTAGAGAAAAATGTAAATAATAATAATAATAATAATAATAATAATTATAATAAATAATAAATAATCAGACGTAAACTACTGTCGACAACCACTAACATCGTTTGATGGAATGATATAAACTCCTAATATAAATTAGCCAAAAATCCTAATTATTAGGCAAAACCCATAACTCTTATCTTATCAACTCAGCCCACCAAACTCAAATCCACCCCTCACCAGATCCAACCAGTCCAGACTCGACCCAAATCAAATCCAGCGCAATTACTCAAACCAAAACAATCGTATTTTTTATCCGGTCCAGTCAAACCCTACTCGATATCATCTCATTCACCTAAGAATCTTTCAAATAACAACAACAGCAACAACAAAACCCAATTCCCATATGTATGGGGTAAGGGGGAGGTAGGGTAGTAGGCTACCCCCAACGCCAGGTTGAGAGTAGCTTCCGTGGAAGACCTCCGGCAGTCAGAAAATTAAAAATTTAGATAAAATGCAATGCATGTATAAATAAATACATAAATACATAGCTAAACAATATTCATATGCAGTCATTAAAATCATATGTGCGTCTGTAACGTGAATTAATCCCTGCATAATAATCCCTGCGAAAGAATATCTGCATATAGACATAAACATAAGATCCGGCTAAATTTAAAAGAGGAAACATGAAGATAATGATACACAGAAGTCAACGTTAGCAAGCCCAGTTCTAATCCTTCAAATAAGAGTGAGTAAAACTCGATTCAACTAAAAATAATAATGTTAACAAAAATCAAATTTTATTAAATGAAATACAATAGATTAGTTTAAAAAAAAGGATAGAAAGCATGTTGATAAACCAATCTGGGTTACTTCGACCTTGGCGATGGTGATCGTATCTAGTGGAATTGACAAGCTTGTCCGTAGACTAGTAAAAGTGCAGTTCAACCTTGTATGTCGACAAAACAAAGTATTGGCAGATCACTTCGCAACTGAAGGGTTGCAGCACCATTCGTTTTTCAAAGCTGGGAGATAGATAAGGAGAGTTAAGGTATGTTTGTTCTGTAATGTGGGGGTAAGGCTTTTATAATTGTTAGTTGATTTTTAGTGTATTTGGAGGAGTGGAATCGATAGATTTTTGTTATATATTGGGTGTGTTTAGGCTGTTGAAAAGGAGTGATGCTGGTTGCCGAATGGGTGTATGCAATTTGAGTGTTTAATTGTCAAGTATATTTTTGATTCAGTTGGATGCCCTTATTGTAAAACGTGTGAAAGATTGATATTAAATGACCCCTTGTTGCTCACATAAGCCTTTAGAATCAAAATTTCCAAAAAAAAAAAAAAAAACCCCTTAAGAATCAAGTATGACCTCATCTATAATATTTAGGGGGTGTTTGGTTCAAGGATTGTGGGATTTCCATGGGATGAGAATCCCACATTCCCATGTTTGGTTGGTCGGGAATCTCATTCCCGGTAATGTTTTATTACCAATAGTAGATTTTTTGGGATATATTACCGGGAATGTCATTACCTCCCTTCCCTTAGGTATTGTAACATTACTGGCGTTTTGGACTAAAATGCCCTTAAATTTTTATTTTTTTTTCAAAAATATCATTCTTCTGTCATTGAATAATAAAAATTCTACGAAGGTTAAATTACAAATTTATCCTTAAATTATTTTAGATTTACAAAAAAAAATCTATAATTAAAATTTTATATGAAGTTCAGTGGTTAAAAAAATTTACCATTTCATTAAACCTTTTTTATATTTTTAATTTTGTAAAAAAAATTATATAAATATTATGAATTTAATTTTTTAAAGAAAATATATAAATATTTTACAATTTGTAATATTATACAAATATATAATAAGGATAATTTGGTCAAATATACATTCCAATAATCTTTTATTCCTTTAACCAAACACGGCAATCTTACATTCCTGTTAAACAACCAAACACAAAATACAACATTCTCAGTAATTCTATTCCCTGATAATATTTTATTCTCACTGGTAATCTTACATTCCGTGAACCAAACGCACCCTAAGAATCATGTGAGTTGTTGGGATAAAGTGTTCAAGTATTTATAATATTATAAGGATTCATAATGCCAATCATATGAAATCTGGATGAGGATATCTTATTGAATCGATTAAAGAGTGCTTTGATTAGTATGACAAGGTTGCATGCTACCATGTTGCGTATAATAAACCAATCATGTTGACGGTGTTAGGTCATGGCTTTTCAATATTGGATATTATAATAAAAATACTAAATTAAAATTATTTAATGAAAAATTCATTAGGTGGTTTTAGTGATTAGAGGTAGTTTTTTTAAAGGTTTTGAGTTTGAGAAATTATATGTGCACGATTGATGCGCATTATCAATGATTTAAAAATATTTTGAACATCTACTACACTTATAATTATTTTATATTATTAAAAAGTATTTTATAGAATTATCAATAATGATGATGATATGTTAAATTAAATAGTATCCTAGTGTATTGAAAAGATTTTCCAGCTCGTAATATATATTGAAGTTGAATGGATACAGTATACTTGATTTCTCATTATTCATAAACTACTATTATTATAAATTTGGACCATGTTATATAAGCTTGGGTGGGGTTAAGGTTATAGTCTGAAATTCTTTTAATGTTAATTTATTAATGTGGGTTTCGATGAGATTCAGTGAAATCTAAACAAGCCATTTTATTATTATAAAATAATAAATATTTTTTCAAATATTTATATTTCTAATTAAATATATATTAGATATTCCATCTCTATCGATTACCTGCCCTCAATTTGTATCACCATCCAATGACACACCATTGGGCCAATATTCATGCCGTAAATACTATCAACTGGATCGATATAAATAAAATAAGAACTCATTAGATTATTTTAATGATTAAATGAATGTTCTTCTCTTTTAAAGTCTTATGTTCGAGCAATTACGTTGTAGGATATGTGTTGTCAATAACTAAGAAAAATTAGAAACAAATAATATTTTATAATAACTCCAAATTATTAGAATAAATTATCAAACATAATCCATATATATAATTTTTAAATTTAAAAATCATATAAATCTGATCTATATATTATACGCCTTTCATACATTATTGATCTAAAATTTAAAACAATTTTTAAAATAAAATTCACATACGATCTAATTCAACTAACACAAATATATATAATTTATTTTTATTAGATAGAATAAACATAATAGGTTCGAATTTGATTGGATGTTAAAATGTTACACCCACAAAAATTTGAAAAATATTTTATATCAAATCGGTTAAAAAAAGTTCAGGTACTAGCATAAAAAAGATTACCCATCTCAGGTACTAACTTATATATTAAACCAAAATATTAAAAGTCTGGGACCCCACGGTGTCGTTTCGCTTCTCAAGCATACTCGTCTGTATATATTACATTGATTAGTTAAATTAGGTTTTATCCAAACTTAATTTTCCAGGAGCAAAGTAAAGCACGAACGATTTGAATCACAAATCTCTGTAAGTTTTCCGTTTCTTGCCTTTGAATTTCACTGTTTATTTTTCCATTGATAACAAAATCCAATTACATCTATTATCTTAATCGTAAATTGGAAAAAATGCAGGTATTTGAGTTAGGGTTTTGAGAAGACAATTAAATGTACAACGGAATCGGTCTGACAACCCCTCGAGGGTCAGGCACCAATGGTTACATTCAGAGCAACAAATTCTTCGTAAAGCCGAAGACGAATCGGGTAACCGATTCCACCAGACCTTTCGAGGCCGATCAAGGTACGGCCGGTCTCACCACCAGGGAACCCAACAAGGAAATCCTGGAGCATGACCGCAAGCGTCAGATTGAGCTCAGGCTTGTGGTTTTGGAAGATAAACTCACCGAACAAGGTTACACTGAGTCTGAGGTCGCCGAGAAGCTTGTCGAGGCTAGGAAAGCTCTCGAAGATGCCCAGCAAGAGAAAGATGAAGAAGAAGGAGAAGTTGTACCTAAGCCTACTCATCGACAAAAGTAATTTTCTATTAATTTTAATGTTCTTTTATTATTAAAATTAGTGATTATGGTTCATTTATTGATTCATTCATGCTTTGTAGGTTGGGGTTGCAGATAAGCAGACGTACCAAAGTTGATTATTAGCAGCTTTCTGTTTTCTTTGATTATTATTAATGGAGGATTATGGATTCTATTGTGTATTTATTGAACCATTCATGTTTTGGGTGTTAGGGTTTCAAATACGCAGACCCACCAAGTTGCTGCGAGGAAGGAGAAGCAGATGCAGACCTTTAGGGCTGCTCTTGGAATCGGGGTTTCTGAATCTGGGCTTCCTCCTCTGCCAAATCGTCGAAAAAATAACGATGAGCGGGAGCATTCCTTTCTGAATAGAGATCCACCTGTTTCTGCAGCATTGGATGCGGATGATCTTAATGTTAAAGCTGACAAGAAAGAAGTTCAAGCTGTTCGAGATGAAGATGAAGAGCTGCAAAATCGAAAAAAGAAAAAGGATAAGAAGAGGTCTAGGCATCAGGACTCGGATACTGATACAGACAGCAATGTAGAGCATTCAAAGAAAACTGCTCGCAAGAAGAGTCGTAAGCATTATGATACTGAGAGTAGTGGTTCTGATGATATTGTCAGTCGAAAGAAGTCAAAAAAATCAGAGAAGCGCAATAGAAGCAGACCTAATGATAGACAGGTAATACAATTATGTTTAATTTAGATTCTCATTCTGAGCTTAAATTTTATAGTGGTTTTTGCATTTTCGGTGAATAATTCATGTGGTAATGCAATCCATGGGTCATTGAACTATGTTAATTTGCATAAATCTTGATAAATAAGTAAATTAGGTAAAGTGTTACACATCATAATACATATTCAAGGAATCTTATTCATCAAGAAGGATAAGATAGTGGTATATTAAAGAATAAATTGTGAGATTACATTCTTATAAATTATCATCAAAATTGATTTATTAGATAGCTGTTTCTATGAATGATTTTGACCTAAACATAATGAAAGCTATGATATCAGTTAATCACATATGTGGATTATGTTTAATGTTAATACACTGATATGTATGATGTTGTGTCACCATTTGTATTTTAATCATTTGGTTTCTTCTTTAATATTGCAGGGTAGTGAATCGGATTATGATTCAAATAGGGCAAGAGGTCATAAAAAGGAAACAGTTAGGACAAGTCGTCATAGGCATGACTCGAGTGAGGATGACTCTGATTCTGATGGTGGGAGGGAAAAGAAGGGAGGTAAAATTCAAAAACGAAAAATTGAGTTGACTCGGAGCCATAGGAGAAAGTTGGAAAATAGAAGTAGTGGATCTGATTCTGATGCAGACAAACCAAGAGACTATAAAAAGGAAACAGCTAAGAGACATGACTCCAGTGAGGATGACTCTGATTCTGGTGGTGGGAGGGAAATGAAGAGAGGTGAAGTTCAAAAACAAAAGATCGAGTTGATTGGGAGACAAAGGAGAGAGCGGGGCAATATGGGTAACAAATCCGATTCTAATGCTGAAAGACAAAGAGGCAGAAAAAAAGAAACAGTTAACAAAGTTCGTAATAGGCATGACTCCAGTGTGGATGCCTCTGATTCTGATGATGAGAGGGAAAAGAAGAGAGGTGAAATCCATAAACAAAAGTATGAGTTGATTGGGAGTCAGAGGAGAGCGAGGGACAACATGGGTAGTGAATCTGATTCTGATGCAGAGAGAGGGAGAGGCCGTAAAAAGGAAACAGTTAAGAAAGGTCCTCGTAGGAATGATTCCAATGAGGCCGACTCCGACACTGCTGGTAGAAGGGGAAGGGAGAAAGGTGAATATGATTCCGATGGAGATAGAACAAGAGATCCTAAAAAGGAAATAGTTCAGAAACATGGTCATATGTATGATACGGAAGATGATAGTGATTCTAGTAAAATTGATGAAAAAGTAGAGAAGGGTAGGAGAAGAGGTAGAAGACATGATTCTGAGGATGATGAGAATCCCAATTCATCCTATGGCAGGAGAAGTGGCGAGGCTAAAGCAGCAAGAGAAAGGACTGCTAGGAGATCGGTCTCTCCGAGAGATGATACTGATGCAAGTTCTGGTGACTCCGATAAACATGATGTAAAGCATCAAACTATTGTAAAGAATAATGCTGTTGACAAAGATAGAAGAGGACATAGAGGTGATGATGACAGTCATAATGCTAGAGGTCGTCGATATCAAGAAGAAAAGGACTTTGCATCTGCTGCAGCCAAGAATGATGATAGAAGGGGAAGAACCCTAAATGAGGGTGATAGATTAGAGAGATTGCAGAAATCAGAAAACAATAGGGAAATGATGAAAGGAAAGAGGAAGTTCGATGATGAATTCCATGACGAGCAGCCAGAATCAAAGTCAAGAAGTCGAAACTTGGGAAGAGGCATGGAGCAAAAAAGGGATAATCCAAAGGATAAGTTCAATTCTGAATCAAATGCCAAAGATTATGGGGGGAGAGATGATTTGAATAGGGATGAATATTCTAGGTGGGGGGAAGATGACCAGAATAAGGATGAATACTCTAGATGGGGAAGAGAGGATCGGAAGAGGGATGAATATTCTAGGTGGGAGAGAGATGATCGGAAGAGGGACAATACTTCTAGGTCAGTTAGGACTGGAGGAGAGCCTGACGGTGAGAGTGGTAGACAAGATGGCAGACTTCAGAGCAGGATCAGCAAACCAGATGATGGATCTAAGAGAGATGATCGGGTTTACGAGGACCAGAGAGGTGGACGAAGGAATGGCAGGGAAGAAGAGGAACCCGGAGGGAGAGAAAAAGAAAGAGATGAGACGGACCATAAATATAGAAGTCGTGGAAGGGATGAGGATGAGAATCATGGAAGACATAGGTACAGGGAAGACGATCAAGGGAATAAAGGTAATGTGCGGGATAGAATGGCATATGATGATGTCCGGTCTAGTGAGAGAAGATCGCGTAGAGATGACTGACAATGATGGGTGTGAGAACGTACTTGGTGAGTTGTTATATTTTACTATATGTTACTTTTGAATTGCACTTATCATGAACATCTCTGACAAGTTCATGACAGAACAACACTATAGATTCAGAGGATAAACATTGGTGAGTTGTTTTCATTTTTGTTTTTGCTGCCGATGATAAACATTGGGTGCTGACCTTGTTTTATTTATATTTTCTGTGTAGGTTGAAAGTACGTTTAAAAGGTACAAGCTTGAAATGGTTTAAAGACTTTATGAAGGCAAGTGCCCCCCCTATACGAGTGTTTAAATTTGAAGGATGTTTTGTGTGTTTTTGGTTTCCCTTTGGTTCGCTGGATTTTAGAATTTATCATATGACGAGTAATGAATAAGCCTTCTGTATATTCAGAGGAAGAACTGCTTTTTGTAATGGTTTATTTTGTCCCAACATTTAGTGTTTAATATAGACTGATATTATTGGCTGCTATCTCATAAGTAGACTTGTTCGAGGGTCGGGCCATCTGCTCGAAATTTGAGAGAATTTGAAAAGAGAAAAAATACACCCAAAAATGGGTTTGGTTAAAGTTTTAGCCCCCTTTTTTAATTTGGGCTTGGCCTTGGACAAACATATTTGGTGGATGCATGCCTTTTTAAAATCCAAATTTCTTTCGTTATTTTATTTTATTGATTGTGTTTACTTTTAAAGTTTATTTATATTTACTGTATAAAATTTTGTGTGATTAATATATGTGTGTCTTTATTCTCAAAAGTATTATGGATTAGTCCTTGTCGTTGACCTCCCAAAATTTTATTTATGCTTTTTCTTGAATTTGAGATGGAAAACAAGGATTTTTTTTTAATGAAAATTAGTTTATTAATTATGTGTAAACTAGGTCACATGACACATTGGATATTGATTTTTTGAATGGATGTACGAAATAACAAAATGAACCTAGTGTAGATAATGTCTTATTTAAAAATAATTCATCTTATTTTAATATTCAATTCTAAGTTATAACGTCATTCAATCTATCAAACATTCCAAATATAGATTGTTTGATAAATATTGACAAAAAGTATAAGAAGTTTTTGTATATTTAAAAAAAAATTAATGTGGTCTTCATATTATTTTTTTTTGGTCTTCCAATTCAAAAAACAAATTTAATGTGGTTTTTTGAATAATGTTTTTCATCGTTGAACATTACGTTTTTTATGTGGTAGTGATATGTTTCATATGTCATGTTTGAGTTATCAATTTAACTCATATATCATGTTATCTGTCACGTTATCAATTACCATCGACTGTCATGTCAGCAATGTGAATCGCCATGTCAACACCATACACTGTCACACTAACGGTCAATAACGAAAAATATTGATCAAAAGGCTACTTCGAGTTTATTTTCTAAGATGGAAGACTACATTAAAAGAAAAAATAATACAATGATCACATTAATTTTTTTTAAGTACATACAACTATGATGTTCTTTTACCAAAAATCTATAATATTTTGTACATATAAACTTTACCAACATTTCATAAGATATTTTACGAATTTTGACTCAATTTGATAGAAGTGACAGTTTTCCTAAAACCAAATCATATCCGATATAAATCAGGGTGAATTTTGTAAAAGGCAGAATTAATAATGGGAAAAGTTTGAATTTACGATAATTTTTTAAATCGAACTTTAGATATTTTTAATAAAATATATATTTATGCAATTATTGTTGAAATATATATTTAGATTTCCTCCTTCCCTTATTTTTTTATACTGAAAAAAAAATCTTATTATTTGTTTCATGAGCCGACTTTTTTCCTTTAATTTGTGCTTGCTGTAATTTATTTTACTGGTCAATAGATTTAAATATTTTAAGAAAACCTTGATAAATAATTTGTGATAGCAGAGTATAAAGCATGCTTGGATATGTAGTTAAAAATACGATTCCCTAAAACTTGGAAAAATAAATAAACCAGATCCCTAGTCCACATTCACTCCCAAATACAAAGCTACAAATTATGCTGGTCTTTAGAAACGCCAAAAGTTTTGCTCGTCTACAACTATCCCGACTCGAAGATCTACACATATGCCAACACTAGGATATGATACTCTAAAGACTTCCCCAATACACGAAAATCTACTTGCTCACCCAACACGACTAGCTCTACCTCTCTAACACAACTCCGTTAGGAAGAACGCAACTGTTTGCTCCACATTGTGTTGACAGCTCTCAAGCCTGCGTGTTAAAACCATGTCGGAAATCGATTAGTTCGCATCTTCCTTTTGGCTAAGCTTTTGTCCTAACTGATTCAAACCTCAAAACCACATCTTCCGACTTATTCCCTGTTAACATCTTATTGTTCGGATACACTAATTCCTGGATTGAAATTGCCAAGTAGGCAGCTACTACGGAAACCGAGTCCTCGGTCTTCCCCTTCCCCTTTTCTTGATAGGATTACCATGTGCATCCACTTGTGTAGCCGGTTTGGGTCTTTGATTACCATGTGCATTCATCGGTGATACAATTTGGCCACCGGAAGGTCCAGCCGTCTGAATTGGCGAAGCAGCTGGATTGACACCACTAAATGGGAAAAATGGTGTAAACCCAGACGGGAAAGGGCCGTTGGGAGACACGCAGATGAACGGAGCACCCTCAGGTGGCTCAGGGAATACTGGAACCAAGGTGCGCATTGGTTTTACATCCAAAACTTCAGATTTACCAATCGAATTAGGTCGAACAGTGTTTCCACCCACCACTCCTTCCATTTCAAGCAAAAGCCAAGTCTTTCCGCCAAAATCACTAAAGCTCCAATGTGAACCAAATTACACAGAGATCAGTTCTTCGAGCCGAAAATTTTAACCTCTGGCTTGTTTATGCACTATACCAAGCTCCTGACATATGCCAAAATCACACAAAAGATCAGCCCTTTGAACCAAAAAAATTTCCCCTTTTAATAGTTTTTTTTTCTTCAAAAACAACGAATACCCACTTTAGCTTTCTCCATTCTCGACTTGTTTATGCACAGAATCAATATCCTATGTAAAAGAAAATTACAGAACAAGAAATCAAAGCCATGAAAAATGATTCTATAAAATAAGAAATACCCATTTTATTGTTCACAATCCTTGCCCTTTTAATGCTGAAAAAAGTAAAATAAATAAACATAAAGAGTATACAGAAAGAGATCTAGGATTATCTATGGAAAAGGAAACAACTTATGTTATAATTTATCATGAAATTATCACAAATGGAATCGATGTTTACCTGAAGAAGAAGAGCATTGAAGTGAAGAAGACTGAACCGACTTTGAGAAATAGATGGGAATTGGGAGGCTTAAAGCTTTGTTCTAAGAATATCATAAATATCCACACCTACCCTTGAAGGTGAAAAAGTAAAATAGTAATAATAATAATAAGGGTAGATTATAAAAATAGTCCCCCAAACTTTTAAATAGATTATATTTAGGTCACCTAACTTTTGAAACTTGCAATACAATCATTAAATTTTTAATTTATTTTCAATAAAATTCCTGTCTCGTGTTAGTTATGGCTGATGTGACACTAAACTACCGTTAAGCCCCCTTTCTTTTTTTCTTCTTCTTGTTGTAGCCTTTTATCTTCTCTTTTCATTTTTCTTTAAAATCAGCATCCTTTGTTTCGTTAAGCCCCCCCCGCTTTCTTTTCTGGGAACCCATGACTCAGGGCCATGTTTTATGGCTGATGACAATGGAGAAGGTGGGAATTTGAGTTTAAAAGATTGGATATGGAAAAATCCGAATGTGTTTGGTCACAAGGTTTTGAAAAAATGGGGGCCTGATCTTCTTTTTCTGTTCAAGGTTTGTTATTTTCTTTTACACGTATTTCTCTACGTTCTTTTTGGGGATTTCCTTTGATTACCGAGAAATTGAATTTTGATTTTTGTGTGTGTGTTTGAAATTGGGTAATGAGTTTCCTTTTTCTTTTTAATGGTAATGGCTAGAACTTTTGCTTCAGTATTCATGGAAATTGAATTCTCACCATTCATCTAAAATTTTCATTTTTACTATTTTTGTGGTCTCCATTATTATTCCCCTGCTTCTTTTGGTATTTCGCTTGGGAGATGAATGAGGCAATTGGGATTGAAACAGAATGAACAGACGTTCCTTACTCACCAACTGTTTGCAATGCTTGGGGAATTGGTTGCTAATTGTTTGTTTGAGGGTTGGGTATTACTGTTTTGTTTTGCTGGAATGGTTTTGTTCATTGGATGGTTTTGACGTATTGTTGGGGAGGTTGTGTTTCTTGATTCGTTGTATTGTTGCACCTTGATGTTGTATCTTTTGGATATTGAATGAAAATTTTACTTATCCAAAAAAAAAGCATACTTTTACAGATTGAAGGTTGCAGTGAACTAACATATTTGTTCCTTGCCGTTGGGAGATGAAGGGTTGTAGTTGTTCCTTGCAGTCGAATGAATTTGGGCAATATCCGGATATGTCGTCGCCGGCAATGATGGCGTGGAGTAAATGCATAGTTTTCCAGTTCAGTGAAAATATATAATATAATCAAGAAGAACGGAGGAGAATAAGAAAGAAGAAGAAGAAAGATGGAGGCTTAACAACAGTTAAGTGCCATGTCAGCAAAATCATACGGGAGTTAATGATATGGACCTTATTGAATACGAACTAAAAGTTCTATAATTGTATTGTAGGTTTCAAAAGTTGAGTGACCAAACTACAAGCACTCTAAAAGTTTGGATAAATTGGATAAATTACACATTCATCACTCAATTGTTTTCTTCTCTTCTATCTTGGTCACTAAACACTAAAAGATTTCGATTTCAGAAACCTTAAAGACTTCAGGGTTTAAATCTGTAGTTAACCCATTTTTTTAAACACAAATTCCTTCTTCGGGAACCTCGCCTGCCTTTTTAAATAAAATGTTCTATCCATATCCATTAATCAAAATTTAAGAATAAACAAACTAAAGGAGGAATTGATAAAAAAATATCATCATTAGCTATGGAACAAATGAATCAATAATAAATATTAAGACTATTTCCTTCACAGTATACTATTTTTCTTCTTCCGACTATAATTTAAAAACATAAATATTTGAAAAAAAATGAGAAGACTGATCGGTAATTATACCATCCTTTTTCTACTAATTACCTTGATTTTTAATTCAATACAAGCCCTTTAACAAAAAAAAAAAAAAAAAAAGGATTGTGGGGGAAGTTTTTTCTTCTTCTTTTTCTTCATATACCGAGTTCTAAAGAACTTAATCAACATGCTGCAGAAGGGTTGGAGAAGGGATCGTAGAAATGAGGCCTCGAAGCCATTGAAAATGGGCTTTTGGAATTGCCATCGGCAAACGCCGCCGATTCTTTCACAAGACGGGAACATGGTGAGAGTAGCTGTCGGCATCCGCATGTAAAAAGGCTAAGCCGCCATTTTTAGTGCCTTGAGTTATTGTAGTTCATTTTGCAGTCTCCTGCTCTAATCTGTCAGTGTCTCACAACACTTGTTGAAGAACTCACAGTCTGCCTAAGTTTGCTTAAGCTTTGTCCTGCACATAAGAAAAAAACATGCTCTTTTATGATTTTGTTTGATGAATGAAAAAAGTAAAAGGGAACAAGTTTTTGAACCTTAGCTGACTTTAATGGATATTATAGTTGCATTTGAACTCCTGTTTTTTTTCCTCAACCAACAGATGGGAAATCAAAACCCAATTCTTTAAGCAAGAAAAAGGAAACAAAAACATAATAATCAAGGGTAAAATGCACGTGATTTAATCATTAATAAGGATACGAACATGACAGCATCATCTTGCTCATTTTTGTCTCAATTTGGTTTATAACAGTCGACGATTAGCGGTGGCGTGAAGAAACAAATTAGAAGGGAAAGAGGGAGATGGGGGCGACGCACGGATGATATAGAGAAAGGAGGTAGGGTTTAGAGTTTAAAATAAAATGGGTTAACTACAGGCTTGGTCCCTGAAGACTAGGGTTTTTGAAATTGAAAACTTTTAAATTTTAATAACCAAAATAAAAGAGAAAAAAATAATTGAGTGATGAATAATATAATTTACTCAATTTATAACGGTAGGAATTAACACAACTTTGGTCAATGAAAGGAAAACGATGTTGACATGGTTACATTATATTGTTTTTTTGAAGTTAGAGGACCACATTATTTTATTTTTATTTTTATGAAAGTTCAAAGATCTTGGATGCTTATTTGTCAAAAATAATTTTGAACTCGTAAAATAATATTATTTTATAATAATAGATAATGTAGAAATTACAATTAGTAGCTTTTGAGTTTACAAAAGTATTTTTGAAATCAAATTTATTTTATATTTTAAAACTTTTTATTAAAACATAATCATAAGCTTACTACAAAAATATATTAAATATGGAAATCATGTTAAAAGATAACATTTTTATTAAATCACATGTCAGATAATAATATTTCAATATAAAATACAGTTTGTAAGGTCAAATGTTTATTCTAATTTAATCTTATTATGAATACTCAGTTTATAATTATTCAATGAAATTATTAATGAAATTATATTTTATAATAACTAATTATGATGAAACAAATACATTTTATAATTATAGTACATAAAATATAAATATAAACTAGCTTTAAAGAAATTAACAATTATTATTCAAAGAGAACTAAGAAAAAATTTATTCTTAACAGGTATTGAATTCATAATTTAAATGAGATTGAAGTGTCTGACATAATAATATAAAACTTCTTAGTTTTATATATTTTAAGATAATTAAATGAATGAAAAAAAGCGTAAAATTCGAATCTCCATAACGAAACAAACAATACGAACGGAAGGCTCATATCATGAAGGCAGTGATTCAACCATCGCATTCAACAATGCAATAATTAATAGTCTCACATAACAAAACATCTGGTATCAAAAAAGGGTGTCATAAACCCTAAGTTAATTCCAGAGAAGACTGCTTTCTTATGTTTCAGGCTCCACATTCTTCAGTCTATCTATCTATTTACCTATTTTTAAAAGATATCATAAATAGTGGCGGCAGCTCCTTTTCTATAAGAAAATTCTCTAACAATCGTTACCGGAAACGCCATACCACAAAGAAATGTTCCTTACCTTAAAACGGAAGGCATCATCGTTGCTGATGGACGGAGGAAACCTTTAAATCCATCAGCAAAACTGCTCTCACCCACTTATGCTACCACCAATCTCAAGATATTGAAAGGCGCTATGTAATTAGTTAAAAGAGTCTTTTGCTAGTTGTGTTGAAATGGACTATAACTCGTCGTGAGGTTTGGATTCTCCATTTTCATTGGTTGAGCTATCTGTGTTCCCACCTGGTTTTTCATTTTCAGAGGTATCCTTCTCTGGAGCCGAGTCAGAACTTGTTGTATTCTCCGATTTGGTCTCCGTTTCATTCTTTATGGGCTTCTCAACTTTAGGTTTTGGCTTGGGAATTCTCTTAATGCTTGCAGCCTAAATACGATGCGATGTATTACGAGTTAAGCACATTTATGCAAAACTACAAAGTGATCTTATTATCAAAGCGAACAAGGAAGACGTACCTTCTCTTGCAAATTGTATACCTTCTCGTATACTTCTTCAGATGTGAAAACAGGTGTGCTGTGTCCCAATGTCCTGGAGAAAAGGTTAACAAAATCGTCATTGGGTTGGACATGTAAGAACAAGGCTCAAATGCAAAATTAAAGAGATATGCATGATAGGCCTCAGGTCGGATATGAATGTCCTCAGGTTGGATCAAACGGCATTCGAGTCCTAAGGAATGCAGCAGCATAAAAACTTAATGCGAGAGCTTTGCAGCCCTTTTGGTCCTACCCGGATCGACGGCATTAGTCAAGTGATCCATAAGATCAAATATCTCATTATGTTACACAAATGAAAAGACTTCAAACATAAAACTAAAAGCAATAACTTACTTCTTTTGCTCCGCCTCCTTGTCATCCAACCAAGTCTTCAACTTGTTCATACTGCTTGACAACTGAAAAGCAAAATGTTTTCACCACAGGATAAGCAGAAACCTATTTTAGAAAATATTAGAAAGAGAATTTCGAAGGTGAACAAAATACCTCATCTATTCTGTCCTTTGGCAGCCAAGGTTTGTCTGTCTCCCACCCACGAGTAGTCTACACGAGTAGCCACAGACATAATTATTTGTGTAGCAGTTAACGATATATTTTGATCTCTACACCCCCCCCCCCCCCCAACAAAGAGTAACAACTAAGCGAAACCTTGCAGTGGATATTTAGAAAGCATGTAAATATAAACAATCTAACATACCTGTTGCAAGTCAGTGAGGTAAAGTCGAGCCACTTTTACTGCTTCTGGTCGTGCAGTCAACTCTTTAAATCTAAAGA